GGCGGGCCCAATTTTGTCTGATTTGTTCTTTTTTTTACTTTTATAACCTTTTTACTTTCATTTACATTTCAAGATATTCTGTGTCAAAAATTAACAATTTATTTAATTTTTAAAAACGTCCTCTCTATTAAAATAATGTTCATCACATGTCATAACTTGTTCTTGCAAATTTGAAAATTGTTCATTCAATTGTAGAAAAATGTTCGCACATTTAAGAATATTTAATGAGATTTTTTAAAATGTTCATGAAATTTTAAAATTTGTTCAGGTAATTTTTAAAAAAAGTTTGTACCATTTGACGGAGAAATACCTATGGGTAGGCCCATGAATATGTATGATGCAGCCAAAGGCCCATGCCCATGAAAAGTACAGCCCAAGAGGTCGCCAAACTAGGGAGTCCTTCACCAGCGGGCAAAGTAAAAATTGTTCATGATATTGTTCACGCGATCAAAAATATGTTCATGGCATTTTAAACAATGTTTAAACAATCTAAAATTTGTCTACGTAATTTTAAAAAATGTTTCATACTATTCAAAAGAATAGTCATAATAACATTGTTCATAACACTTAAAAATGTCATCACGTTTAAAGAAAATGCTCATCTTTTATGAAAAAAAAGTTGAATATATGTTTTGAAAATGTTTGCCATGTTTTTGGAAGGAGAGAGCTTCGAGGGTCTCCGAGGTATCTAGCCTTGCAAAAAGGAGAGCAGACATGCCCAAGTATTCACCATTGATATCTGGTGTGACCACTACAACATCACGTGTGCTACTATTCTTCGCAACTCCAACATCTCCATTAATCTTAAGAAACCACATAGGTCGTTATCCATCGAGGATGTGTCATCGTCGCCTGCTGTGGGTAATTAGGAGCCTTATAAGCCACATTCATCTCCCAATCAACAAGGAAGCGATCAGCGAAGCTCTTCGCTGACAATGGACTATGAATAATGTCCTCATGCATCCCCTTCCTTCGATGGTGCCATATTGCTCAAAAGGAGGACTAGAACTCTAATGAGTTCATCATGTTTCAAATGGTCAAATAGAGCAAATAGCCAATCCTGAGCGTGCGGTTCCTGCGTGGAGTACGGTAACACCATAACTTTATCATCGAAGAGCTCCCGTACGCACTTTGACATAGTGCACTCTAAGAACGAATACCTTTAAGAGTGAGAATGTCCGCATATTTTTCCCTTATTCTCCGGTGCATGTTCCTGTGCGCTAGCACACCAATAGTTGGGAGTGAGTGTGTAGCTAGACACCACAAGAACACATGAACTTTTGAAGGGACCAATATCTTCTAGTGCAAGCACGAGTTTTTCTCCACCTGTTTCATGCCAAAGCTCGTCACCCGGCCTTGTAGACAAGCCTGCCTTTTCTCCTTTGTGAAACGAGCATGTGGTAGGCTAATTGTACTGAGAAAATGTCACGTTTGTCAAAGTACCACGCCCAGAAGTCATGTTGCCTTCTTATGGGGAGTGGGTTTTCTGAATAACCTCAACGTCCATCGGGATAAAGTGCTCTTCCAACTTTTGTTTTTCCTATGACACGGTCTTACTATCAATGAAAGAATTATCTTTAGCGGGCGGTGCATCCAAAAGCTATGGAACCGGCGATGGGAGAGGTGCATGGGACTCAGGCTGCAAGTGGGACGCCCCGCGGGACGCCCGCATCACGCCGCATCAGCCCACGTAATTAAGTGGGCTTATGCGGGCTTGCCACATAACATGCAGTTTTGTCCGCGGTTGCCGCTCGTCCCACATAATTTAAGGTCGTATTCCCACGTATCTTTGTGTGTAACGGCTTCACATACAACTCCTGCTATAACGTTCTGTACGTGCCTTGTATCTAGGATCATCAGCTACTAAAAGCAGGTTGTTATGCTCCGGTTTGCATTAAAATCAGTTAAGAATTAGAAGGCATAGGGATTCATATTTGAGACATCGGAATCTGACGAACAGATGTACACTTGTAGAGGATACTAGTATATGTGAAGATTCAGATTTAATTACTACTTGGATCCTTATAAGATTGAAAGGCAACAATAAACTAGCACATGGATCGGATCCTCTTTGCTATCCCCACGTCAGGATGGATAGATAGGGTATGCGGCAGTCCCAGTAATGCAGATATGCAGATGCACTTTGCCCAACACAGGGAGGCAGCAGGTAGTGGTGAACCATGCTAGCTCGCAGTGAATATGGCTGATGACCAGGGTAATTTTCTTGCGAAACAACTGAAAACGATCCCACTTGTTCAATCGTTCAATGCCAGCCAGTAGCTAGCTGCAGACATAGCCATGGCGTCGATGTTTTTCACCTCATGTACGGGTAAAGGTTCGTACAACATGGCGCCGTGTACGACGCGCCGGGCGGGGGTGGAAAATGCCATGCGGTGTAACAGCAGCGTTGCGGCGGAACTGGACGCGGTCGACCATGGCGGAACTGGACGGCGGTGGCGCCCTAATCATCATTGCATCATCACGAAAACGTGGGCTTGATGCGGACGCCGCGGGACAGCCCGCATATCCCACATATCTGGCTGCTCTATCTGCGGGCGTCCGCGAACGTTGATTATGTGGGTTTTTATGTGGGCACCGCGGGCAGCCCGCGTTCACTTGCAGCCTGACATGGAACGAACAATGGATACCAAGGGATGGATCTCTTACACCTATCGCTTGTCATTCTGAAGCTTCCTAAAACTGGTGCAAAAGAAAAGCCTAAATGGGCGGGCCCATCTAATAGCCAGACCCTCCCAATGTGGGTGCTTGTTAGGAAACACCAGTCGCAAATGCTTAGATTGCTTATAGGAACCGCTAACCATAACGCTCGCCTGTTGTACGCTTCTCGTGGGCCGACCCATTACTGGTTTCCGCGAACACCCATGGAAACGGGTGGGGTCCATGGTTGGAACCTACCATAGTTTTTTATGTTCTTTCCTTGTTATCTACCAGTTTTCTGCTTTTCTCTTGGTTTTTCATTTTATTTTAAAACTAATGAACATTTTATAAATTTGTGAATGATTTCAAATCCATGAATATTTTAAAAATTTGTGAAATCCTTGAAATTCAAGATTTTTTGTGAAATTCATGAACACTTTTCAAATTCATGAACATTGCTTTGATCTATTGAACATTTTTTATATTTGTAAACCTTTTCAAATTTGTGAGCATTTCTTGGATGCGTGAACATTTTTTAAATTCATAAACACTTTATAAATTTTTGAACATTTTTTCAAGCTCATGAACATTTTTTGCTTTGTGTATTTTTTGAACTTGAAATTAAACAGACAAAAATAAAAACGTAATAAAACCCCCCAAAAAATAAAATAGGCGTGAGCTTTTGTCCCTAGCTCTGACTGTGCTCGCTGGGCCAAGACCATGTAGCGCAGGCGGCATCAGCGACACGGCTGACACTACGAGCGATACTTAACAGCTCCCAACACTAGTAATGAACAGTAGTGACTGCCGCCTTTAAGCTTGCCCTTTTTAAGCCGGTCTTGTGCGTCGCTGGCATAGACGACTACAACGCGATGTACCTTTCCTGCTTCGCGGCCCTGATCTCCTGCGCCATCCAGGCGTGCAACGTCACCCTCGCGATGTGGATGCTTGGCTCGAGGAAGAGAGTGGTTAAGCTGCCGCCATCCAGCGGCAAATGGTGCCACGGGCTCCTCTTGACAGGCCATTGGTCCGTATTTTAGAACCTAACATCAACACTAATAAATGGATAGGCAGGGGCATTGCCCCCCCCCCCCTCTGCACTGTATTTATTCAATAGTTGTTTAAGACTGAGTGCATATATCTTATACTCCTTCCATTCCTTTATATAACGTGCATTTGTCTTTTTGATAAAATTTCATAATGTAAGATGCATTTCTTCCAATTCCTCAAAATTCCATTTCTAGCCCTTTAAAAAAAGATATCTCTCCCCCGACTGCATGTATCTCTCCTTGTAAATTTATATGTATAAAAAAGGAAAGTGACTCTTTCCTAACTGTGTGTATCTCTTAGTTTCCTAGCCTAAATGATTACTTACCACTAATCAATGATTTAGCCAAGGTTAATTTTGTTCTATCCTTTGTAGAATTATGTGCCTTGGTCAGTGTTCTAATAAATTATATACCTTATATAAAGGAATGGAGGTAGTAATTATTATTTGTATTATAGTAATTATATATACATGATGTATTAAGACTTTATTTGTGAATTGAAAATTGAATTTTAATGTCAAAAAATGCATTTTAAACACGATTTAAAATGTCAAAAAATTCAAAAGGAAATTCCACACATACATGTTCGCAAGTGTGTGTGCGCAGCATAAGTTTTGTGAAAAAATGTCTTCTCGCTTTGTCTCTGCAAAAAAGACAAATTTCAGTGCGTCTAAATAGTGTTTTACGACACAAATTTTTGTCTTCTTTTGCACAGAAAAAGTTATTTTTTCGTGAAACTTTCTGCATGCACATAAAATATGAAGACGTATCCGTGTAACCTTTTTCGGATTTTTTTAGCATTTAGAAATATGTTTTTCGAAGTGGATTCATATGTATCTAGGTTCATAGGTGCACTTCTCGAGTGTCAACCGATGCTTTTATTTATTTTTTGCGGTGGCCGGCCGGCCGACGTCGTGCGTGCCGCCTGCCGCGGTCAAAACGCCTCTCGCGCGCTCGCACTGGCGGCGAGATCCTTTGTCAAAGTAGGCCGTGCCATCATTGTTGTCTTAGAGCATGATTAATAGAAGAGCCGGCAACGGGCTCTATACGAATGCCAGGTCACTTATAGCCACCAAAAAAGAACTCTCGTATAACAAGCTGGCTGTAGGCATTGGCTATAGTAATTAATATCTACATGCATGACAGAGAGAAAAATTGTAGTTGATTGGAGTGGAGGAAGCTGCGCTAGCTTTAAGCTCTTGCATGCAGTTTCTTTGTCTCGAGCCTTGCGCTGCAGCCGGCGACTCACGGAGCGCCCGCTCCCTTCTCTCTCCTGTCTTCTCTTCCCTCCAGCTAGACTTTGTCTGAGATGGAACGGCTTGTAGCCAGCTGACTAGGCGCTATTATACTTGCTCTTAGCAAGCTGACAAGCTTGAGCAAGTTCCCATGCGAGGACCCTCCTTCCCGGATGCTGCCACACGCGGCCTCCTTCCACGCCACCGCCCTCGCCTTGACCCCCTCGTCACCCAGCAGCCACGCGACCTTGCTCTGGACCTCGTCCTTCGCGACGACCCCTCTCTCGTCTCGCCGGAGCTTGGCGCCGGTGCCCCACACGTTGCACACGTAGCTCTGGTTGCAGAACTGGTCCGCGAAGTAGGGCCAGCACAGGAACGGCACGCCGTGCAGCACGCCCTCCACGGTCGAGTTCCACCCGCAGTGCGACATGAAGCAGGCCACCGCCGGGTGCGACAGCACGCGCTGCTGCGGCGCCCAGCCCACCACCAGCCCCTTCCCCTCTACGCGGCGCCTGAACGCGTCGAGGTCGAACTGATCCTGCCCTGCTCCGATGGTGAAGTCTGGCCGGACCACCCACAGGAACGGCCGGCCGGAGAGCGCGAGCCCGTCGGCGAGCTCTTGGAACTGCGTTGCGTCCAGGAAGCCGGAGCTGCCGAAGGCCACGTAGACGACGGAGCCGGCGGGCTGCGCGTCGAGCCAAGCGAGGCTGGCGAGGTCCTCGGGCAAGAAGTGTCCGGCTGGCCTCGACGTGGGCGCCACTAGCGGGCCGAGAGGCAGCGCGTTGGGGAGGAGGGCCAGAGCGTCGGGTTCCAACTCCAAGGAAGTGTTGAGGATGACCACCTCGGCGAGTGGCATCGACAGGTTGGTCTTGAGGACGTTCTCGATGTTGTTTCTGCGCCTCTCAGGGGCGCTGGTGCTGGCCAGGCTGACCCAGGGGATCTCCGACGCGTCGATGGGCGGCATCATCTTGATCTGCTCCTGCCCCTTCACATCCCCTAAATAGGCTCCATATTCTCAGTCAATCTTTGTCAACCTTAATCATATGAAGAAGGGTAACAAGTGCCATGGACATGTTTGATTTGTTCTTACCACTTTCATCAAGAACACCGTCCTGTATCAATTTGGGGAGGTTCATCCTGAGAGCAAACACGGCCGCGGAGTAGGTCGAGAACGAGGCAACACGGGCACCCGCCGTGGTGGCCACCTGCAGTGCCCAGCTCATGGACACATCCACGATCACCCACTTGATCTTCCTCGACCGGATCATCTCCTCCAGGCGGCCGGACATGGCGGCGGGCAGGTCCTTGACAAACTTGCCGATGTCCGCGTGGTCGTCTCCGGGGCCCAGGCCGTCCGGAACGGTGAGCATGTGGATCCCATCAGGAATTGCTCCCTTCTCTGCCATTGCTTCCATGACGAGGTCGTGGTTGAACTCGGTGTTCACGAAGTCCACCTCGACGCCGTGCCCGGCGAGCTTGCGAGACAGCTCCATTAGCGGGATGACATGGCCCTGTGCAGGGAAGGGTAACACCATGACACGAGGTTGAGTAGCAGGAGCAGCAGCCATGGAGGTTGTCTATCTAGAATAGTGTGTGAGCACAAAAAGTTTGCACTATTCAAAGCCCGACACTCCGTATGGACAGAGATAGCCTCACAGGCCCATCACGTGAGCATATTTGAAGGAGTGCACCAAATTATTTGATGTTCGTCAGCGCTTGCGTCAGCAGATTCCCAGTCTGTTGACCATATGTTTATCTTTAATTAAGCAGAAGAGGTTATCTTGGAAATATTTTTCCCGAAAAACTTCCGGACTATTCATCATGATGGTAGTAAAACTAACACAAGAAAAAAATATATATCTAGATCCGTAGACGACATAGCGACGACTACAAGCATTGAAGAGAGAGATAGAGAGACGTAGCGATTTCTAAATCACTTCCGCGAAACCGCCCGAGAAGACTTTAGGGCTAGCTGTAAAAGTGATGAGAAAATCTTGATCTTACAGCCATGGTCAGTAGTTAGTCATGTAATCACTCTCTAAAAGCAACTAGAGTTAGGCCAAGCAGCAACATAAAAGTATGTCCCCTTGCGCTTTCGAACGGCCGCCTAGAGAGGTAAAGTTTCACAATAGCTAATTCATCTGCTCTGTAAATTGTACAAAATTACAGGTTTAATATAGATAGCTTGTCGGGTGTTATCGACATGTGCAGTTTCATGTTCTGTTTTTTGGGCATTCCTAACCATTATAACCAGTCATCGATTCTTTTCTTTTTTTTGAACTGGAACACCTAGCATTCCATTAATCATGTCGGACCGACCAGGTCGGCGTTCACTACAACGGTTACAAAGTTTGGAAGGTTACCCAGCCAAACATGCTGGTCACCGATTCTAAGGAGCTTCAAAATGTTGGTTCTCAGAAGGCTGAGCAGCGCCAAATTGGATGAAAATGGAGATGCTTTCGTTTAGGTGTAGTCCACTAACCTCTCAATCGGCTTAGGGCATCCGATGACACCAAATGTCCGTGGACAGTAGTCCCGGCCATGCAACCGTGGACACCAAATGCCACCCCTCAGTTTTTTTTACAGTCGAACTACTGAAAATAATCAAAGATAAGCAGCTCATTTTTTCATAGATAAATATTCCAAGGCAACAACAATTAAAATATTCCCGCAAAAAAACAATAATTAAAATATAAATATTACTATTCAAACATAAAGTTTTGAAATAAAATAGTATAAAATTATTGCTATTGCTTTCTTCATGTCAAATACTTATTCCTTCGACTATGAGATTATGCAACTCCCGGATACCGGAGGAATACCTTGTGTGCTATCAAACGTCACAACGTAACTGGGTGATTATAAAGATGCTCTACAGGTATCTCCAAAGGTGTTTGTTGAGTTGGCATAGATCGAGATTAGGATTTGTCGCTCCGAGTACCGGAGAGGTATCTCTGGGCCCTCTCGGTAATACACATCATAAGCTTGCAAGCAAATGACTAAGAAGTTAGTCACGAGGTGATGTATTATGAAACGAGTGAAGAGACTTGTTGGTTGATACGTCTCCAATGTATCTACTTTTCCAAACGCTTTTGCCCTTGTTTTGGACTCTAACTTGCATGATTTGAATGGAACTAACCCGCACTGACGCTGTTTTCAGCAGAACTGCCATGGTGTTATTTTTATGCAGAAATAAAAGTTCTCGGAATGACCTGAAAATCCACGGCGACACGTTTTGGAATTAATGAAAAATTTTGACGAAAGAATCAGCATCAGGGGCCCCACACCCTGTCCACGAGGGTACAACCCCCCTGGGGCGCGCCCCTGCCTCGTGGGCCCCCTGGGACTCCACCGACCTTAACCCCAACTCCATATATTCACTTTCGGGAAGGAAAAAAATCAGAGAGAAGGATTCATCGCGTTTTACGATATGGTGCCGCCGCCAAGCCCTAATCTTCCTCGGGAGGGCTGATCTGGAGCCAGTCCGGGGCTCCGGAGAGGGGAATCCGTTGCCATCGTCATCATCAACCATCCTCCATCATCGATTTCATGATGCTCACTGCCGTGCGTGAGTAATCCCATCATAGGCTTGCTGGATGGTGATGGGTTGGATGAGATTTACCATGTAATCGAGTTAGTTTTGTTAGGGTTTGATCCCTAGTATCCATTATGTTCTAAGATTGATGTTGCTATGACTTTGCTATGCTTAATGCTTGTCACTAGGGTCCGAGTGTCATGATTTCAGATCTGAACCTATTATGTTTTCATGAATATATGTGAGTTCTTGATCCTATCTTGCAAGTCAATAGTCACCTACTATGTGTTATGATCCGGCAACTCCGAAGTGGCAATAATCGGGACCACTCCCAGTGATGACCGTAGTTTGAGGAGTTCATGTATTCACTAAGTGTTAATGCTTTGGTCCGGTACTCTATTAAAAGGAGGCCTTAATATCCCTTAGTTTCCAATAGGACCCCACTGCCACGAGAGGGTAGGACAAAAGATGTCATACAAGTTCTTTTCCATAAGCACGTATGACTATATTCGGAATACATGCGTACATTACATTGATGAACTGGAGCTAGTTCTGTGTCACCCTATGTTATAATGTTGCATGAGGAATCACATCCGACATAATTATCCATCATTGATCCATTGCCTATGAGCTTTTCACATAATTGATCTTTGCTTAGTTACTTTTTGTTGGGGAACGTAGCAGAAATTCAAAATTTTCCTACGCAACACCAAGATCTATCTATGGAGAGACCAGCAACGAGTAGAAGGAGAGTGCATCTACATACCCTTGTAGATCGCTAAGCGGAAGCGTTCAAGTGAACGGGGTTGATGGAGTCGTACTCGTCGTGATTCAGATCACCGATGATCAAGTGCCGAACGGACGACACCTCCGCGTTCAACACACGTACAGCCCGGTGACGTCTCCCACGCCTTGATCCAGCAAGGAGAGAGGGAGAGGTTGAGGAAGACTCCATCCAGCAGCAGCACAACGGCGTGGTGGTGGTGGAGGAGCGTGGCAATCCCGCAGGGCTTCGCCAAGCACCATGGGAGAAGAGGAGGAGGGAGAGGGGCAGGGCTGCACTAACGAGAGATCAAATCGCGTGTTATGGGCAGCCCCTAGGCCTCATATATATAGGGGAAGGGGAGGGCTGCGCCCCCTTTAGGGTTTCCCACCCCAAAGGGGTGCGGCCAGCCCTAGATGGCAAAGGGGGCGGCGGCCAGGAGGGGGAGAGAGGGGAGGCGCCCACTAGGTGGGCCTTAAGGCCCATCTGGACTAGGGTTTGCCCCCTCCCACTCTCCCTTGCGCCTTGGCCCCTTGTGGGGGGCGCACCAGCCCACCTAGGGGCTGGTCCCCTCCCACACATGGCCCACGCAGCCTTCTGGGGCAGGTGGCCCCACTTGGTGGACCCCCGGGACCCTCCCGGTGGTCCCGGTACATTACCGATATCGCCCGAAACTTTTCCGGTGACCAAAACAGGACTTCCCATATATAAATCTTTACCTCCGGACCATTCTGGAACTCCTCGTGATGTCCGGGATCTCATCCGGGACTCCGAACAACAATCGGTTACCACATACAAGCTTCCTTTATAACCCTAGCGTCATCGAACCTTAAGTGTGTAGACCCTACGGGTTCGGGAGACATGCAGACATGACCGAGACGTTCTCCGGTCAATAACCAACAGCGGGATCTGGATACCCATGTTGGCTCCCACATGTTCCACGATGATCTCATCGGATGAACCACGATGTCAAGGACTCAATCGATCCCATATACAATTCCCTTTGTCTAGCGGTATTTTACTTGCCCGAGATTCGATCGTCGGTATACCGATACCTTGTTCAATCTCGTTACCGGCAAGTCACTTTACTCGTTCCGTAACACATCATCCCGTGATCAACTCCTTGGTCACATTGCGCATATGATGATGTCCTACCGAGTGGGCCCAGAGATACCTCTCCGTTTACACGGAGTGACAAATTCCAGTCTCGATCCGCATAAAACAATAGATACTTTCGGAGATACCTGTAGTGCACCTTTATAGTCACCCAGTTACGTTGTGACGTTTGATACACCCAAAGCACTCCTACGGTATCCAGGAGTTACACGCTCTCATGGTCGAAGGAAGAGATACTTGACATTGGCAAAGCTCTAGCAAATGAACTACACGATCTTTTGTGCTAGTCTTAGGATTGGGTCTTGTCCATCACATCATTCTCCTAATGATGTGATCCCGTTATCAACGACATCCAATGTCCATAGCCAGGAAACCATGACTATCTGTTGATCACAATGAGCTAGTCAACTAGAGGCTCACTAGGGACATATTGTGGTCTATGTATTCACACGTGTATTACGATTTCCGGATAATACAGTTATAGCATGAATAAAAGACAATTATCATGAACAAGGAAATATAATAATAATACTTTTATTATTGCCTCTAGGGCATATTTCCAACAAACACTTCTTGAAATTTTGTAAGGGATCATCTTATTTACTACCGTCGTCCTAAGTAAACAAGATGCATAATCATAATAAACATCACATGCAATCAAATAGTGACATGATATGGCCAATATCATTTTGCTCCTTTTGATCTTCATCTTCGGGGCTCCATGATCATCATCGTCACCGGCATGACACCATGATCTCCATCATCATGATCTCCATCATCGTGTCTTCATGAAGTTGTCACGCCAACGACTACTTCTACTTCTATGGCTAACGCGTTTAGCAATAAAGTAAAGTAAGTTACATGGCGTTCTTCAATGACACGCAGGTCATACAATAAATTAAGACAACTCCTATGGCTCCTGCCGGTTGTCATACTCATCGACATGCAAGTCGTGAATCCTATTACAAGAACATGATCAATCTCATACATCACATATATCATTCATCACATCCTTTTGGCCATATCACATCACATAGCATACCCTGCAAAAACAAGTTAGACGTCCTCTAATTGTTGTTTGCATGTTTTATGTGGCTGCTATGGGTTTCTAGCAAGAACGTTTCTTACCTACGCAAAACCACAACGTGATATGC